ATAATAATAATAATAATAATAATAATAATAATAATAATAATAATAATGATAGTAATTAGTAATAATTAATAATAATAATAATAATAATAATAGCAGTAATAACGTATAATTTACTAAGGAAGAAGACAATTAATAGGGAAGAACGGATAATTTCATTGAAATTTATCATGTCTTATTATATTTCATTTAATAAACTGTTTAAGCAAAATTTTCTTATCCTCAATTTGTTATCAAACTTTAAAAAAAGAAAAAATTAATAATTAAAATAAAGCTAAATGAAAATGATGCAAAGAAAAATGTGCTAAATAAATGAAAATAGGTTGACAAAATGTGACATACATATACGTTGACAAATTAGCAAATAATGAATAATTCATTTTGTTGAATTTAAAAAAAAAAAAAAAAAAAGAAAAAGAAAAAGACAAACCTTTAATTGGTCGAACGATTGAATTTTGTCGATGTTTGTTTGTTTGTTTGTTTATTTGTTGATTGCTAATTGACAGATTGTGCTCGTGTGAGGAGGATTATAGCAAGATAGCAATGTAACGAATGCAGTTTTTTTTTTTTTTAAATATAATTTATTTCAATTCTTTAAAAATTTACAAATTAAAATTAAAAAGTTTTTAATCCTTATTACACTTGTAAATTTTAATAATTGAATTAAAATTTCGAGTTAATTATTTTATGGTAAAACGAAAAAATTAATTTATTGCAAAAATCATTTTTAAATTATTAAAAAAAGTGTTTATAAAAATCTTTAAAAAATTGTAAAAATTACTTTTAAATAATTTTCATTACAAAATTTTAATTTTTTTCACCAACAAATATATCATTGCAAACTGTATTTTTCGAAAATTTCATTACAACAATTATTTTAACTTTTATATTATAACATTCAAAAAAAGAAAAAAAAATTAAAACTCAATTATGTAATCAATTTAAAATATAAATTACTCAAAATTTTCAATTTTATCTCTCTACTAATTTATATTACATAAACTGAACATTTCATCAAATATTTTGCGAAAATTAAACCTCTTAATTAGTTTAATTTAGCTATAATTAATAGCTAATAGATGAAGAAAAAAAAAGAAAAGGTAAATAAACTTACCTCTTGAACTTTCTTTTCTTTCTCTTCCAAGTTTGTATTTGCAACAGATAAATCTTCTTGTGCTTTATCTAAATCATTCTCCGTTTGCATCATCTTCTTTTGGGTATCACGAAGTTCTTCCTCAATTCGTTCCAGCTTATCTGTCATTTGTCGCACTTTCTCTTCCGCGGCATCGGCTCGATCGAGAGCATTATCCTTTAGAAATAATTAATACAATATTCATTTTCTATTTCAAATTGTTATTTTCAAAGATTTTCAATTAAAATAGGGAACAAAAAAATCCCAATTTTTTTGATAAATGCATAATTTTTTGATTTATAACAAATTAAATTTATCAAATTATCAAAAAAAAAAAATTAATCAAAATTTTGTTATGATTAAAAACATTTTGAATCATTTCAATTAAAATATTTTTGATTCATAAAATTTTATCAAATCATTGCAACAGTTAACATTACATTTAATTAATACTGATAAAAGTGGCAACAATTTTATTGAATGTATAATTTCAAATTTTTTAAAATAACAAAATTTTTTGCGCAATTTTGTGAATAAAATTTAACATGTTTTTGTATTATTCGAAATCATTTAATTTAATTTAACCAAATGAAATATTTCTTGGAATGAATTAAATTTTCCATTTATTTGATTATATTTTTCAATTTTTTTTTTTTCAAGTACAACATTTGAATATACATGATATTATTAATTTGAAAAATGTGATCCAACCTATGAGTGACATATTATTAAATTAATGATTAATGATATGTTATCTTTACCTTTAAATAAGCACAATTATTTTTTGCCGATTAAATAAATGAATAATTTATTGTTTTTATTTATTCAATTTTTTAACTTTCAAAATTCCTTTCAATTCATTCAATTATCGCATTACATTTCCATTTCCTTTTTTTTTTTGAAAGAAAGAGAAGTAAAAGGTTGTTTTAGGTCAAATAATTTCATTAATTTCAATGAGATGGAATAAATGGAATTTGTAGAAAAAATCAAAAACTGAATAATAGGAAAGTATTGATTTGAAAAAAGAAAAGAAAAAATAATTTTTTTTTCTAAACTGCCTGTCCTTCGTCCTTCTTTTTTTTTTTTTTTTGTATTACAATTATTGAATTAAATTTACAATAAATGCAAATTTCCTAAATTATATGGCAGAAAGAATTTTTTTTTTTTTTGCGAGAAAAATTTCAAGTTTAGCAATAATTAAAGGGTTTGATAAAATGAATAAAATATTTGAAAAATTATAATTAGCAATAAATTTTTGTTATAATTAATAAAAATGGATTTGATAACATTTGTGGTTTTTGATGATTTTTTGTAATTTGAGATAATTAATTAATTATTGCTTTCATTTTTAATTATTATATTTTTCTTTATTGTAGTTTTCGTTCTTTTTTTTTCCATTAGTAATTCAAAAATGCAATGAAATTATAATTCATTTCTTTGAAAATATAAATTAAATTTTTAATTGCAACATTTGTTGTTTCACCATATAATTCAATTAATTTAATATTTTTAATATTCAAAAAAGTCAAAAATATTACTTTTTTTCTTTAGGAGATTTTTTCCTTTATTAAAATAATACTACCATAGTTTAATGTTTTCTTCTTTTTCCTTCATTTAAACTTAAATTTTTAATTTTAATATTTATTATTATTATTATTTTTTAACAATATTAACAACAATGTAGCAATACGGTAATAATGCCTTCTTCTTCTTTTTCTTTCATTTAAATTAAATTTTCGATTTTAATATTTAATTTCAATAATTTCACCATACAATTACAATTCATCAATCCTACATTTTTGATCTCTGAAAGAGTTAAAAGTATTAGTTTCAAAATTTCAAAAATTTTTTTTTTCATATTTATCAATTATATTAAATTGATAATATCTATCTTTTTGTCTTATCATTCATAATTTTTAATTTTTAATTTTTTTTTTTTAAAGAAACAAAAAAAAGTAAAGGAATTTTATGAAGTATACGGTGGGGAAAAACTTACCTTCTCGATTTTCATCGCCTGCATCTTTTTCTTGATTGCATCCATTTTTGCTTGAGGTTATGGTATTAATTTGTTGAATAAACTTTCTGGCTAAAAAAAAAAAAACAAAAAAAGAAAAAAGAAAAATCAGGAAAAAAGTTGAGCGAAAAAAAAAGTGAGTTGGAATTTTCTCGAAAATTTTTAAAACAAAATGAAAAAGATTCAGCAAGGTGAGCCAAAACAACTTGCAATGGATAGGATGATGTACAATGATAATAATGATATATCATGTATGTGGTAGTGTGTGTGTGTGTGTGTGTGTGTGTGTGCTGTCCGCCTGTCTGCGTGTCTGTGTGTCTGTGCGTGTGTGTCTGTGTGTGTGTGTGTGTGTATTCTATGAATTTCTCCTATCATTAATATATCTTATCAAAACATTTAATTTTTTTTTCCTTTTATTTTGTCTTTTGCCTTTTTCTCTTCTTTTCAATCATCTATTCGTTTATAATTTAAACGCAAATTTTTGAAATTATAAAATGAGAATTCTCGAATTACTAAATATTTTTTATTTAATAATTTTTCTTCATCTATTATTATTGCTAATATCATTATCAATAACTAAATATTATTATTATCACTATCAATAATGATAGTAATAATAGTAGCTGTGATAGGAAGTAAGTACGAAAGAAAGAAAGTAAGTAAGAAAGTAAGTAAGAAAGGAAGGAAGGAAGGAAGAGAAGAAGGAAAAAGGCAACAAAATGCTTTATATCATGGAAAAATGTAAAGGATAAGTTGTAAATAAATATGTAAGTAAAGAAGTAATCAAGGAAGGAAGGAATAAAGGAAGGAAAAAAGGAAGGAAGAAGGGAAGGAATAAAGGGAGGAATGGATGACGGAATGAATGAATAGAAATACGAAAAGGATGAAAATAATTAAACCATTTTTATTATTACCAATAAAAATAAATAACAGTAGCAGTAGTAATAGTAGTAAGTAAGTAAGCAAGTAAGTAAGTAAGTAAGTAAAGTAAATAAATAAAGAAGGAATGAATAAATGAATGAAGGAAGGAATGAATAGAAATACGAAAAGAATCAAAATAATTAAGACATTTTTAATATTATTAACAAAAATAAATAACAGTAGCAGTAGTAGTAGTAGTAAGTAAGTAAGTAAAATAATGAATGAATGAATGAATGAATGGAAGAAGGAATGAGTAGAAATACGAAAGGAATTGGAATTAATGAAATCATTTTTTTTTCTTTTTGATAATGATAAAAATAGCTTAATTATTTTCAATTTCTTGCATATTTCTATTCATGATATAATAATGATATAATAATGTTTACTTACTTACTTATTTACTTACTTACTTACATACTTACATACTTACTTACTTACTACTGCTAATAGTATGAAATAAGTAAGGAAGTTGAAATAAAGAAGAGATTTGTTCAACAAGCAAGGAAAGTTAGTTCTCGTTTGTTACAGCTTGCTTGCTTGGCTTATTACTTCGTTCGTATTCTTATATCTTTCCGGTTAAAAGTTCCTCCTTACACACATCAACAGCTGTTACTTGCTAAGCTTTCTATCAAACAATTTAAGAAACCAAGAAAATAAATTCCTCTCTCCCTTTACCTCTCTAAAATAAATTCTTCTCTCCCTTTACCTCTCTCTCTCTCTCTCTCTTTGTTTAAAGAAATTGAAGAGAAAAGGAAGGAGGAGGAAGAGATAGTGATAAGATAAGATAAAATTCTCCCTCTTTTTCTCTTCCTCTCTTTGTTCAAAGAAATTGAGGAGAAAAGGAGGAAGGAGGAAGAGAGAGTTGATAAGATAGGATAAAAAAAAAAAATTAAAAGTTAGTTAAAGAAGAAAAGAAAGTGGAGGCGGATAAAAAATGTATTAAATAGTTTAATGGTGTATTACATACACACATACATACACATACATATTCATACACATACACATACACACACATATATACATACACATGCATATTCATACACATACATACATACATACACACACACGTACACATATACACATACATACACATATACATACACACATATATATATAGGTATGAAATAATATTAAGTTTAAAGAAAAGAATAGCAAAAGATTTCGGAGAGAAAAAGATTG